ATCTAAAAGTTGAAGGGGAAGCCTTTAAATATTAAAGGTGTGGTCTTTAATTCGGCTTTGACAATGTGACTTTTTATTAAGTAAGTAAATAGTAAGTGGACCGCTCATGCAGACAACTGATTGTCGAGTTGGCAGCTAATGCTAACTGGCGGAGCGTTGCAGAAACAAAACGCCCTATTATTTACATGAATGATATTTACTCACCGTCGAGCAACGGATTGTCTAAGGAGGTGGAGTCTGTTAACTTGTTCTCATCAGGAAGGTATACCAGGCGTCAATGAATCCCAACCTGGTGAGTATGGCAGCGGCTACATTAGCGGCACTATTATCGCAAATACAACATCAAGTTCTGATGGTACTTAACAACTCACCGCAGATCCTCAGGTTTTAGGGATGAATTTGTTCAGTGATAAGTCGGGTTGGAGATTTTAGATTGTTTTATTAACAACTGACGCCACAACCAACAGTGAGCAACAGCACCGTGGAAACCCAGAAATACACAAGAGGGTCCCAGCGGTTAAAGGGACGGCTTAAAGGGAAGGTGGTTGAGGCGTGGCGGTCGCGTGGGTTACAATGGCATGAATCAAATTAATGACATCCTTCCAAAATGCTCAACTCGTCACAGAGTTGCACCTAAATGACTTCAATATACTACTTTAGGCAATCCACTTATTTCAGTCGTTCAAACTTTATTGCACAGTTTGTCTGATGCTTTAGTTTTGACACCCACCACTTCTGGCAAGGTTCACATTGTTTAATGTTTACATGTCACGGGACGTGCATGATTTAAGTGGGGAGGCTGTAACCCGGGGTAAAATCTGCCCTTAGTCCCACCTTTGCTGCTCCATTGGTTAGAGTGACAGTCAGTCACACAGTGYATTCAGCCAATTAACGCACCTGAGGTATTATTTGGGCCTGCTCTAGCTTTCCCAGTCAGGTGTGAGGGGGAGAGCTGGAGACAAAGGAGCTACAGGTTGGTGCTTCCAAACAATCAGTTCATCTCTTTGTTTGTTCTGCATTTTTTCAAACTTACAATATAAAAATCATGTAGATCTGAACATCCAGTGAGCTTGGAGCCACGAAGCTGTCATGCACTGAACTATAAATGGAATTGGTGAGTAGTGAAGCCAATGTTTGTTTTGTTTAGCATCTTGGTGGTGGTAGTCAAAGCTAATTGTTTATCAATTGTCATTTGATCTAATCTTTTTAAATTCAACATGATAATGAGATGAATGTTTTATTTTGTCTGAAAGATTAGATTTAGGATATAATTGCATTTATTTCTGAATGTAACTGAAACAGTCTAGTTAACTAGCAGGCTGGTAATTTACTGGTCCTGTTTATTTTAATACAGGCCAGGTGACCCTTTTTAGGGTTAAAAGATGGCGAGCTTCTGAGAACTGGCTGGGGCCAGGAGAACCTGAGATTTACTCCATACTGGTCTGGTAGGAGGCTGTTGGTCTGTATTTCCCCCTCCATCTTACCATTCGGACACACAATTCACTATTCATCTCTTCATCTGAAAAAACTTGCGCTTGGACATTGTCATCTCAAATATCTGGACAATTCAACTATGGACTTTTTGAATGTGTGTCGGTCAGACACTGTACTGACCAGTGAGGAAATTTAAGACGGTTGTGCACAAATGTATAGAAGATCTACTGCAGTACTGTGTATATTTTGTATTTATTATTTTGGTTTCTATGTATGTTTGTCTTGTGGTGGTCACTTTAATTTTCTCTTTAAAATACATGGTATTGAAAGCAGTTATTTTGTGTTGTTTTTATTGATTACTGACAACAGCTCCAGTAGACCAATTTAGTCTTCTGATTTATTCCATCTAGTCTTTTTGCACATTAAATAGTGCTACACAGGGTCAAGGAGGCAAGGCAAAAATGAGGCATGGGACAAGAATGCTGGAAAATCACTGACAAGGCAAATGACAATCTGGCAAGGAACTATGGATAGTGACTGAGTTAAATACAGCATGGAGCAGGTAAGTACAATGAGCTGATTACTGAGAGGGTGGAACTGCTGAGAAACTGTGAGGAGGAACAGGAGCAGAGCTTGACTGTGGTTGTAAAACATAACAATAATAGCACTATTCCTAAACAAATCAAACACAACAATACCACTGGTATCTAGAATCGAAAGAACAAACTAACTCAAGTGCTATATTCTGCCACATCACATGTAGATTGGCAGATCGACATGAAAGATTATCTCAAAGATTTTCTCAGAAAAAATCCACAATTATACTACTGTGTTCACAGTAAAATAAAAAGTGATTTACATAAAAACACAATGAAAGCATGATAATCAGATTCTCTGTGATTTTTTTCTACCATTATAAATCTTTAAGGCATGATAAGAGAAAAGAAGTTGTTCCACTTTTCCTGTGACAGTCATTATCATGATTTAAAAATGCATGAACATTCTTAGTTAAATGACAAATGAATCACAAACAGAAGAGATTGTTTTGTCCATTATCTGATTAAGAGAAGGGAGGGGTTCTCTTCCACGGTTAGAATGACCTGTCATGGCCTAAATAGAGTTCAGTTTGTAACAGAGTTCCTGTCTTCTTGTCAGGCCTGCTTAGAGGCAGAAAATCTTGTTTCTTCACTCGAGGCGACCCCTACAGAATGTCCATTGTTGCTGGCGGTAACCATGGAGCCATTAAGGTGGGTTACAGTGTGGGCGTCACTGTTATAGGATGTTGTCGGCTTACTGTGCTTCAGTTGTCGGAACAGCACGGTGTCACCAATTTTGAGAGTGTTGTACTTGGCACGATGACATACATCCGCATCAAGTTTCATCTTTGCCTTCGTAGTCCGGTCCCGGCTCCTGGTCATGCATGTGTGCAACAACCTTTTGCAGGACTCTGTCTGTGAGGGTTGCCTTTTTGATGTCAGCTAAAGCCATGGCTTTGGGTGTGGCATGCTGTGCCAGGAAGTTAACATACTCTTCAGCTACTTTTGTTGCTCTTGTGTGGTTTCCGGTCTGTATGGGGATTTGATGCCTAGACATGTAGTCAGTTGGGTTATCCATTCCTTTCCTGTAGACTACTTGAAAGTTGTATGGTTGGAGCCTTAGTCCCCATCATTCGATTCTTGCAGGTGGTTTTGAACATGTTTTGTTCCATATTACTTCCAGCGCTTAGTGGTCTGTAACCAAAGTGAAAGGGTGTCCATACAGATACAGATGGAAATGTTCACAGCTCCATATGATTGCCAATGCTTTTCATTCTGTCTGCGAGTAGCATCTCTCAACATCGCTTAGAGGATGACTAGCGTAAGCTATAGTCTCTATCTATCTATCTATCTATCTATCATCTATCTATCATCTATCTATCATCTATCTATCATCTATCTATCTATCTATCTATCTATCTATCTATCTATCTATCTATCTATCATCTATCTATCATCTATCTATCATCTATCTATCTATCTATCTATCTATCTATCATCTATCTATCATCTATCTATCATCTATCTATCTATCTATCTATCTATCTATCATCTATCTATCATCTATCTATCTATCTCTTGTCCAAGTTGATAAAGAATAGCTCCTAGACCAATGGAGCTTGTGTCTATGACCACTTCTGTATCATTGTTCGGATCAAAATACAACATCACAGTCTCACTGCTTAAGCTGTCTTTCAAGTTTTGCAGGGCTTTTGTTTGGATTGGACCCCAGCACCATTGTGTGTCTTTGTTGGTCATCACTCGAAGTGGTGCTGAAATTGAAGCAAAGTCTTTAATGAAACGGGAGCAGTATGTCACCATGCCTAGCAGGCTTCTCACCTCGGTGGGGTTTTCCAGTGCGTTAGCTTCTTTGATTGCAGCAACCTTCTTTGGGTCGGCAGATATACCACCAGCTTGGAAGATGAATCCAAAAAATTCCAGCCTAGATTTGTTGAACTCACTCTTATCTCTTATCTTTATTAAGTGTGAGACCTTTCTCCTTGAGCCTTTTCCATGATCTGCTTGTGTTTTTCCATGTACGATGATGTCATTGCTGAGATTTTTCACACCTTCAATTCCTTGTAGAGCCTGGCAGATGGCATTTTGAAATACTTCTGCCGCCGATGATATGCCGAAATTCTGACGTTTGTACCTCCTCAAATCTTCATGCATGCTCAATGTTGTAATGTACCTGCTGTCAGGGCAGAGTTCTAACTGATGGTAGCCAGCTCTTAGGTCAAGCTTGGAAAAGACCGTTGCTCCGTTGAACCCATGGATGACATCGTCCATATTGGGAGTAAGATGACGTTCACGTTGGATGGCAGTATTAGCTTGCCTCATGTCTACACCGATTCTGACTTCATTTGAGTTTTTGGGTTTGGGTGGAATCACAATCGGGGAGAACCTAGGTGTAGGCCTAGTCACTGTCTCTATAATATCATTGTCTTCTAACTTTTGGAGTTCCTATTCTACTCTCTGATGAATGTGAAATGGGAGATGTCTGTGTGGCTGACATGTGGACTGAACATCAGTGTCTATGTGGAGTTTCACTTGAAAATTCTTCAGCTTGTCAATGCCTTCAAAGAGTTCTGGGAAGCTCTCTACAAGCCTATCTGCCACTGTGGGGCCTGGTGTATCTGAGACACTGTTCACTACTTTGATGAGGCCTAATTGATTAGCTGTTTCATAGCCTAGCAGGGAATAGCCTTTGCCTGATTTCACATAGAACTTGAATTTAGTCATTTGTTGTTTGCTTCTGATTCACAGACAAACATGCCGGCTAGCTGTAGCAGAGTAGAGCAGCCAAAGGAAAAAACTTTAGTATCAGGTGGTACTAACTGTGGTTGTTGCGATAGCACCAGTTGTGACAAACACATAGTCATCGCTACTGCTAGATGACTCCCTTTTGTCACCTTGTGCTGAGCTGGTGATTGAGAACACTTTCTTAGAGGTTTTGTGATTTTTATGGTACACTTTGGCTCTTGAGTCATTGCTTTGGACAGGAGGTTTTTGTTTTGATCAACATTGTCTGGCAAAATGGTTAAGCTTACCATGGGCTTTCCAGTCTTTCCCTCATGCAGGACAATCCCCTTCATGTGGCTATTTCCCGCCACAATTCCTGCATTCGTTGTTTGGTTTGTTGGTAGATGTGACTTTGTAGACTTTGTTCAGTTGACTTTTCGGCTGTATGGCATTTACAGATATAGCTGCTCCTTGTTCCATGCCTGTTGTGTGCTGCTCGGATAGTTCCAATGATCTCCCATAATCTAGAATATCCTGTAGACACGTCAGACTCTCTCGGTGCTCATCTGCGTAGCCTGGACAACGTGCAACTCTGGATCAATTGTCCTTTAATTTCTAGATCCACATCAGTAAATTCACAATGTTTTGCGAGCATGCAAAGCCGTGTGCAAATTGTGTCTAGGCTTTCACTTGGATGTTGTACTGCTTTTCTGAAGACATATACCTTCGTACTTAGATGTTGTGAAAGGGGTGCCATAGGGTTCTGTACTGGGTCCCATTCTTTTCTCCCTTTACATCAACGACCTGTGCAGCAATCTGTCAAATGCCTCCCATCATTACTACACAGATGACACCATCATCTATTGCTGTTCATCTTCCCTCAGCCAAGCTTTCACCTCTCCTCAGGACGCTTCTAATATCATTCAATCACATCTGCAAAAACTTAAACTGCTCTTAAACACTGAAAAAAAGCAAGATTATGGTCTTATCCAACAGAAAACAGCAATCAGAGAACCCATCTCAAATCAAAACCAAACAGGAAATCAAATAGAAATGGTCTCCACCTTCAAATATCCAGGTTTCTACATTGACAGCGACCTGTCTTTTAAAACACACATCTTCAAAATGGCCTTTAAACTCAAACTGAAGCTAGGTCTCTTCTTCAGAAACAAATTTGGCTTCACATGCAAAGCAAGGAGAATATTAGTAGCTGCTATATTCATGCCGATATTAGATTATGGTGACGTGCTCTACATGAGTGCTGCATCAAAATACCTCCAGTCCTTAGACTCCATTTACCATAGTTCTCTTTGGTTCATTACTGACTCCACTTATCATACTCATCACTGACATTTACATCAAATATGGCTGGTCATCTCTCAACATCCGCAGATACACCCACTGGATATCCATCATCTACAAGACCCTACTAAGCCTAGTTCCATTATACATTACCTCCTTAATACAAACATCACATAGTCATTACGCCATGCGCTCTAACGATCTAGTCCTCCTGTAAGGTCCTCCTGTCAGAAATGAACTAGGAAAAAGAGCATTCAGCTTCACAGCCCCCTCAGCCTGGAACAACTTACAGACAGATCTGAAACTGTCAACACTCATCCCTTCTAGATCCTTGATGTCAACCGTAAAAGAGAACGTCTTCAAAAAACTTGACCATTGCAGATGTTTCTAAACATTATTTATCCATTATACATGTCACTGTTATTTTTACTGTATCTCCCCAAATGATGTCTGTTTTTCATCGATTTATTTTTGCTCACCTAAATTTCTTTTCAGGTCTACCAAATATTGTAAATACCTATAGAATTTTGTCTTAT